CCTGGCCAGTCAAGAAGCTTTATTGCTGAGTGATTATTTGAATCCAGCCTTTCTGGTCTTTCTAGTACTCTAACCACTACATCATACTGGCTTTAAAATGTAACAGTCCTGAATTCCATTATTTTTTCATAAAATGGGGCAATTTATTTATTTGACTTATCAGGAACGAGATGGCCTGGTGACTAAGGTCCAATCCACACTGCAGAAATAATCCAGTTTGACACCGCTTTAGCTGCCTTGGCTCAATGGTAGGGAATTCTGGGAACTGTAATCTTGTGAGACATTTAGCCTTCTTCTGTCAGAAAGCTCTGGTGTCACAATAAGCTACAATTCCCAGAATTTCCCAGCACTGAGCCAGGGCAGTTAATGCAGTTTCAAAGTGGATTATTTCTGCAGTGTGGATTGGAACAAAGTTCAAATAGTAATTTCTCTAGCCATTAGCCATAAAAACAAGAGGGGGGAAAGCAAAAGGATTTCTATCACTGTTGCCTTAACAAGACCTTTGCAACTCCAGGTCAATGGACCAATAAATTAACAGGTCCATGATGACAAAGGTCAGGATTGTCCGCTGATTCTACAGCTTAGATGTCAGGGTGATGGAGCATAAGAGGAGCAGCAAATAAAATGTTACATTTTATTCTGGGATGGTTCGCTGAAGGATCAGCCATTATATTCAAAGGTTTTTGCACTCTTTCCCCATGTAGAATTATGTGGACAATGAGCATGCTCAGTCTTTAATGAACAGCTTTAACATTCTCCCCTTTTGATGGGGGTTTACTTTGTTTTTGGCCCTAAATTACTTCTTCAAGCCTTGGGGTTTGCTTATTTATTTAATTTATATACCACCTTTCTCCCAGAGTGGGACCCATGGAGGCTTATAGAAGAAATCAGTTAAAACCTAACACAGTTAAAAATCATCACATTAAAAATATTATATTAAAACTGCATTTTTTTTAAAAAAAACATACCATATTAAAAATAAAATAAATCCAAAGCACACACTCTGGGAGCAATTACATATTAAAACATATATGTTTTATGTTTCCTCAAGTCTGCTGAATTCCTTTCTTGTGTGTGACTTGGCACTTCTTTCGGTTACATGAACAATGACTCTGACCTCCAAATATGGGATAAAGAGAGAATGATACTGAGCTATATTCCACTAGCAGTAAGCTACCCTTCAACCTCTTTTCCCTCTGAACTGGTAGATGTCATTTTCCATGGGGCATTCTTTATGTTTAAAAGTTGTTCCCTGCTGCATATCATTGCAAGTAGGCAGTACTCCTTTTTAACTTGTCAGTTTTGGATCTCTAATAGCAGGATAAACAAATCAGTAGCCCAGTGCAAAGCTAGCAGGGAATTTTTTTGGGACACGACTCCCTGACTGCCCAAGGAGTTCCCAAGGCCAGCACTGTAGTACAAATAAAAAATGTTTCTGCACTCTGGTCTGGAGTGTTAATGAAGTTCTGTTTTGTCATGTTAAAGCAGTAAAAACCAAAACAAGTCTTAAAAGCAATGTACTAGTCACAGCACGAAAGAAAACACCCCACCTGGTTACTAATGCTTTTGACAGCTTCTGTTAGGAGATTTTTCTCTTCTTCTTCTCTTTCTTTTCCCCCCCAACAGTATAATGACATTGGTTAGTTTCCAAAAAGTGAATCTTAATTAAAGAAACATGACGTTTTCACTGGGCTCTATTTTATAAAGCAATACTTTCAAAATTGCATTCAGATGGAGGGGGGTGGGACTCATGCAGTTTTTATATAGGAATTCAACTTTTGGAAACAAAGTGTCATTAATGTTTTTACATAGCCTTCCTTTTGAGTGTGTGTGGCTGGTTACTCTCCCATCAAAAAGCTCATACAAGGTGGTTCTACTGCATTCTTTTGTCGCAAGGCTTATCTCACTAATAATATTTTAAAAAACATAAAAAAGCAGCATGGTCTAACAAGTCATACTGCATCATTAAAGCAACAGCAATGACTGAAATACCCCTAAAGAACAACAGTATCAGGACTACCAAAGCACAACTGTGTTTTGAGGATCAACATTTCTTTTTAAAGTGTAATCTAAGGAGTGATAAGTCCTGAGAAAAATTAAGCAATTTGTGGAGAAAGTGATGGTCCATTTTGCTGTCCCTCCCTGTATGATCACAAGCATTTCCGACAGTAATCAAGCTACTGAGAAACATTCCAAGTGGAATAAATTGAGAACAGCTGCTTCCACTGAGATTAACTTCCCCTAGATTATCCTAGTTCTATTTCCAGTCACTCATGTGCTGCAACTAACTTGATTGCAACCCACCACCTTGTACTCTGTTTTCTGCAAACGTCTTTGCAAAACCAGGTTAAACCAGGTTAACTCAAAAGCCAGTCTAGGCTCTCATTAACCATCCATTCCTCCACCACCACCCCATCACTCACCTTAGCTTCTGCTCAGGTAACCCGTGTAGACCCAAGCTATCTGGCCGATCCCGTCTCCTCCTGTACAAACCTGAATGCGATAATTCTTTCAACTGTAATGCAGTCATTTTGCTTTCACCCACGGTTCCCCTCCTCTCGCCCCCACACAAAAAAACCAGTTTCTGTTGAGCAGCAAGGCTGCCAAGATGCTTGGAGAGAGCACGTTGAGCTTGCACACCTGCATTGATCGGAATCACACGTCCTTTTCTCACAGGCAGCTGCTACACGGCTTCCTGTTTCTCATAGGTACACACCCTCTAGAAGGGCACTGTGTTTCCTTTAGCAGTGAGCCTTGTACCTAAGGGATGCTTCTGTGACAACCCAGAGTCAGCTGTTTTGTGCCCAGATCAGAAGTAAACCATTCACTGTGAAAGGGGTGGGGGGACACCCACAAACCAACAAAAGTAACAATCACCTCTTCAGTCTTCTTTCCTGTAATCAGCTGAAACTTTCAAACTAACAACCAAACTGTTACACCACCATGAGCTGCTAACAAAAGCAAAACCTATTAGCCCTGTGGCTGTCAGCCTAGAAAATCATTCAGCATATACATTAAAAAGAGAAACAGAAAAGGGAAAGAGAATGAATGAAAACTTTCCTTCAAACTACACGCTGAGGACTGACGTTAGTGAATGTTTTCTAAATAAAAGCCAAATTGTAAGAAGGAAACTCCTGTTTTCAGTATTCTTGTCTGGATTGTAAGCACATAAAGGTTACATCATTCATCGCTCATCTTTTCATTGTGCTTTGGGACAAGGTCCACCGGAGACTATGGAAACGAGAAGGGAATGAAAGGTTTCCTGTAAAAGAGGAAGCTGGTGACCCGGGATTTACAAGCCGCACATGCCTCATTTAACCTTGTGACAAAAGTCCTGCTCCTATGCTCGGCAATAAGTACAAACCAATTTGCAGTTGGACCAAATATTGAAAAACAACAAGCCACCACTGCCACCCATGCCCAGAATCTAACACAATGAAGAAAAAGGAGGTGACTTGCATATAATACAAATACAGACAAGGTTGAACTTTACATTTAAATGAACTAAGGGTTTTTCAGAAGCATCTTAGGGGGGTTGCAGACTGCCAGAAATAGTGCAAATTGAGTCCACTTTTAGGGTTAGGGTTCTTTATCGTGGCACCAGAGCTCTCTAACAGAGAAGGCTCAATGTCTCAGGAAAAAACAACAACAATTCTCATGATTCCCTAGCACTAACCCTAACCCTAAAAGTGGACTCAATTTGCACTATTTCTGGCAGTCTGCAACCCCCCTTAATGTAAATACAGTTTTTTTTAGTGCCCTTGCATCTAATAAAGAATATTCAATCATATAAGAACGTTAACAACAGCCCTGCATGATCAGACCTAAGACCTCCCTACCCACTATGTTTTTTTCCTACAACAGCCATCCAGGTGTGAAGGCAACCATTTGCCTCACTTTATCCCCAGCTGGTACTCAGAGATACTGAATACAGAATGCAGAGATACAGAGCTGGTACTCAAATGCTGAAGATGGAAATCCATTTAGCTGCTAACTATTCTAAGTGAACACAGGTCTAATCTGCTTTTAAGGACACCTAATGCCAGGAGTCACCTGCCTATCTTGTGGCTGATAATTCCATCAATTGTTATGGAAATTATAATTTAATGATCACTATTGTTTATTAAATTATTATTTTATTGTTACATTAATAAATTTGTTCTGGATTCCTCCCAGAGTGCCTATCACTTCTGGAACCAGAGTTGTTTTCTTTTTTTCCAAAGGCACTGAATCTCAGCTTGTAGGTCTTCATGTTTCATAATCTTCCCTCTCTCTTTCTCTTCAACTCAGCTGCCCCTCAGGATTGCCACATCTATCATCTAATAATAATAATAATAATAATAATAATAATAATAATAATAATAATAATAATAAATTTTATTTATAGCCCGCCCCTCTGCCGAGCAATCGGGGCGGGTTACATCAATTAAAAAACAGAAGATACAGAAGTTAAAAGCAATCACATACCCATCCAACCCTCCCACCCCTTAAAACAGTATTAAACTAATTATTAATTAAAACAACGTGCTCCAAAAGCAAATAAATAACAAAACTACAAGTACAACATGAGCAGCAGGGGGAAGGGCAATATAATTGTCTCCTGGAGCCGGAAGTTATTCCGGGAAGGCCTGCCGAAAGATCCGTCTTTAATGCTTTCTTGAAAGCCGCAAGAGTGGTGATAATAATAATAATAATAATAATAATTTTTATTTATAACCCGCCCC